CCCTGGGAGATTATTTTTTTTCTGTTACATTTCTTCTTGAATTTTACAGGTAAATAAGGGGAATATAAAATACATGAGACTAAAGTTACCAAGCAGAATACAATATCCATACAACACAGATATATTTATACAGTGTCTATAGGTCATACACACACACAATATAATATCCAAATTATTTTAAATCAACATACGGTAAAAGGTCCATGGAAAAACAAAAAGGGCGGGGGGGGGAGGGGTATGGGTTCCTGTCTGAATGTCTTCCATTCAGGGGAATCCATTAATGATTATTTCAAATGCAGCAACAAAGACAGTGTGCGGTCAAAGTCAAATTTCCTATTCCTTGTCCCTGTGGGAGATTTTCCTTCACTTCCTGTGTGTTGAAACCACTGTCAGCAAAACATAAGGTCAGGGTAAAGCTCTCTAAAGGAGCGCCAGATAGCAGTAAAAACCTGGCAGGAGTTTTAACTCTTTACCACTTACGTTTTTTGGCTTGACTTACACTTTATTACTTAAACTTTAAATAGACTTAGGTAACCCTCACTATTGTGGAACATTAAAAGTTATTTTTATCTAATACATTCCCCAAAGCCCTCCCCAATTACGGCCCCATATTTAAGTGTGGCCTTACTGCCAAAAACACACCGAAGTACTTTACAAATGTGCGAAAACGTAGCTCTATTCAAATGAATGAAAGAGAAAAGGAAACAAAACAAACAAACAGGAAGACAGCCTGCCTTGTGACTTGCCAAAGTCATGTGACCGACCTCTGCTTCAAATCACAGTGCTCTCTGCAGCGTTTTACACTGAGCACTCCGGGTGACCCAGCGGGCCTGCATTTTATGAATGGCTCAGAAAACACGGCAGTGTCCAGCAGAAAGCCAACAGCAGTATCAGCTTTCTGCTAAAAATAGGCCCCTTAGTTTTCATCACTATTCTATCAGGCAGCAAAGTGCAGTACTAGACCTGCCCTAGTCAACTGCATAGACTTCGATCGGCTGACCATATACCCGAGTTACAACAGGACCTTCCAGAAAACCTAAAGTCCACTTTACTAACAGATACCCTCCCTCAAAAAACATACTGCCGAAAGTTGGCATTTCACTCAGTGCACCAAAAAACAGAAAAACTGCACCTACGCTATTTTTGCCAATTCAGCACACCAGAGGTTTGCATTGTGATCCGCATACCCAAGCTGCATTGGGATGCCATTCACAACGAATGGCAATGCACCACAACACACATACATGCGGTAAATGTGTACTGCAGTGTGATGCCATTTGCTCCGAGTGCAACACAAAAGGTATGGAGCCATCCCAAAGCCAGGAAACTTTATATAACGCTTTCAAAGAGGGATTTGGGAGTCCGATGCTCAGGAAGAACCAGCCAGTTAAGCCGGCCTTACAATGTCCAATTCAAACCTCTAGGCTCGGCTGAAATTCAAGCAGCCCTCTAGGCACCCATCCGCTCCTCGAAGGAGCCGATCAGGCAATTCTTAGGCGAACAGTGACTGCAGCCACTGTTCATGTATTCTGACTGCTATCTGAATACAAGGGGGAAATGCATCCATCCACAATGTTGAGCATTGTTCATTTTTCTTTTAACCAGCAGCCCAGCTAAACCTTACCTCTGGATTGCAGAGTGGAATGCGTTCCAAAGAGAACATGAATGACTTTTGTGCTCCTGCCGTGAACCTAACAAATAATAATTTTCTCTTATTTGGTCCCTTTTGGCCTGTTAAATATACCTGAAAAGGTTTTGTTAAAAGGAGAACTATGGGGTTAGGGCTTTTCCCCATAGTTCTCCTTAGGGTAACGGGAGGACACAAACTAGCGTCCTACCGTCACCCAAAGCTCAGTATACCGCGAGCTACAGCCGTTCCTACAGACGCCTGAACGGATCCCGACAATTCTTTCTGGATTCTGCCTCAGATTATGAGGCTGAATGAAAATCGCTCGCCTCATAATTCTCCTTTAAATCTGTTCAACTAGTGCAAATACTGCTGATCCTGCCAGAAATCTTGCCCACTTACTTCCTGTGCTGAATTCTTATTAGTTAGCACTGTCCCCAGCCATTCCTTAGAACTACAGAAGCCACCCCCTCTATGTTCTAGAGAAGAGAGGTTTCTGGAATCCTGTTGACCCGATACAGCACGGTAAGCGATCTCACCCTTATGCTCTATGCGTCAAACACGAGACGTTATCTGTGTAGAAAAAAAACCCGTATACGCTTCCTAGTTCACATTTTTCTTTTAGAGGTTTCTGGGTTAGCCACATTCAAATGCAGTGCTAAATGGTCCCGAAACACAGAAAATTCTTGTTTGTGTAAACGCAGCTAGACAGAACATACCTAGATGCTGCTGAACAACTACGTGTACATTTAGCCTTAGCAAAGCATTACATGCCTCCACCTGGATGCATGTACAGTGATACCTCGGTTCACGAACGCTTCTGTTCGCAAACAATTTGGTCCGCAAAATTTTGCTTCCGTTCGCATCAGGTGACGAACACAACCGCAGCCATTTTCCCTGCTCCAACACTGGTCGTGGCTTCCTCTATTGGAGATCGCGGTCTGAGCACAGTTTGACTCAGTACGTGACCAGAATCGTGGAACAAATTAAGTATTTTAATCCCTGCGTGTATGGGGCCTAAGACAGGAAGTGTGTTACTGGCAGAATCACCAGGTAAAAATAAAAGGAACAAAAGCCTGGAAACATAAGACTTGTAAACAGATCAAAACATGTTCTTGGATTTAGATACGCCTTAAAATTTTTGGATAGAGAGGGAAAGGATTAGAATGCCTTCTGGGTTTTTACTGCCACCCAGGGCTCGGTTGCACAGATTTACCTTCAGTTCCAGTCAGTGTGCTGGGGCTGCACTGTAGAAGGCGGCCAGCACAGCCCCAACACTGAACGGGTCCTTAAAACAAATATTTTTATTTCTGCCTGTGTTGCTGTTGAAGAGTTCTTCGCACTTCCTGTCTTGCAAAACATGGTCAGAACAGGAAGTGAGGGTAAATCTCTCCAAGGCCTGGTTCACACCACCAACAGTGCGCTCCAGAGCGGTCAGCCTCTGGAACGCACTGTATCGCAACCCAGCCGGCTCCCTGAGTTCAGGGGTTAGGCAAAGAGAGCTTGCAGCATTTTTGCAGATCGCACTGGACCAGAACGCAGGCAGTAATGTGTCACGCCTTCGGGTGTGGCCGATCGCACTGCACACAGGGAGCGTGGCTGCGGTGTCACTGACTTCAATGCACCGCCACGACCCCTCCCACCCTTGAACGCAGAAAGCCGGCCAGGATGCGACTAACTGCGCTAGAACGCACTGTATATGGTGTGAACAAGCAGTCCTAAAAACCAGATCAGTATCCCAATCCTTCTGTACCGCCCAACACACACACACACACAGTGGCTACATACAGCCACCCATAGTAATAAGCACCTTTCCACAACTATGAGCACGTATGACAGTGAGCGCACAGGTATGTACTTAGTATTCCTTTGAGCAACTCATTCATTTCAACGGATTGCCCAACGAGTGACAGACGCACCAAAGAAAAGCGCGCACACTCTTTTTATTAAACACGCCACACTAAAAAGCATGGCATTTTTCTACCATCCGTTTTGGCACGCTACAATGCATGTGCTTTGAAAGGCGCTTTTGGGAACCGTTAAGGATGACCACACACCACAGCATGTCTGTAAACGGTTTCAGGCACTGCAGAAATGTGTGCAATTTTGTGTGCATTCTTCCAGCACACAGACGTGAGTGGGCGGTGGGGGAAATATACATGGCTGTACACGGGTTCATGCCGCTACTTGTGTAAAGCAGTAGACCCCTGGACACAGACCGTTTGCGACCAGGGGAGTGCAGCTTGGCGCAAGTCACGGTGTAAACACATATGCAGACATTTCTTACTGTATGAAGTAGCTGCGTATTGCGGTAGCAGTAAGACACCTACAATTTTATGATCAATGTATAGCTCACCACACACAATGCGATTGTACAATCTCCTTTAGATCTACCAAGTATGTAATACAAGGGCCTGCCTGATTGGATAGTTTAGGGAGGTCCTCATATTACATATCTAATAGCACAGAGATCGTATGATCAGATTGTTAACGTCAGCCTAAAGCTCACCACATGTACGGACGAGTGTCCATTTACACTTGGGTGCCCCCAGACTCCAACCAGGTCCAGAAAAACAAACGGGACTGTTCTATTTTGACAGCTCTTACCATGCCGGATCGGGGGTAATCTGATGTCAACAGACACATACCCGTTTACATCGGATTCCCCATACACTGACATTGTTCGGGTCATTCCAGGATGGAAGAAAAAAATTAATGGACGGACACGGATGTCACAGCGGCAACATCTGATCCATACCACTCTGATCAGAAGGGTGCACAGATTGGCTCCTGATGAGCTCGTATGAAAGGAGCCTAAGGCCCCATTAACACTGGGGCGCACAATCCGCCCACATGAACGATCCCATACATTGCTATGGGGACCCGTCATGCAACCACGCAGCTCACTGCGATCCAAACTGCTCACTGACCCTTTTTTGACGTGCTGATCATTGCAGTTTCCATACAGCTTTCAATTGAACTGCACTGATCAGCGTGGTTTTGCGCGTTTTTTAATTGCGTTTCAGCACTAAAACGCAATTAAAAACTCCCTTTCGAAATCAGCGTGGAAATCGTGCTGATCCGCAGCCGCCCTGCTGTGAATGGGCTCTATAGCTTTGTTATGTGTAAAGTGGATCATACAGTCAGATTGTAAACTGTATGGTAACCCTAAATCAGGGGTGGCCAACTCCAGCCCTCCAACTACAAATCCCATCATGCATCTGCAAGTCATGCCCGTAACTGTCAGTCTTGCAATGCCTCATGGGACTTGTAGTTCCACAACAGCTGGAGGGCCAGAGCTGCCCACCCCTGCTGGCCCATAGCAATGTACACAAGATTACCAGGAATCTCTCCCTCCAGTTCCCCTTGTTACCTTTAAAGCGAACTTTTCACCGGTCTTCTTGCTGAAGATCTCCAACACTTTCCCGTTGATTCCCAGTCCCAAGACCTGGTTAGTGACTTTGTAGTCATCGGTGATGGCGTTCTTTTTTATTGGGACGATAGCTTTGAACTGGAGCTGCTGGGGTGGCGGCTGTTGTTGGACTGGGGGTTGGCTTATAGCCGGCGGATTAAGGAATGGAAGCCCAGAGTTCATCATCCTTAATGGTGAACGGAAGTAGGGAAAATGGGGCCACACGGAGTCCGCAGGTGGAGGAGGTGGGGGACAAACTAATATCCGCTCTAGAAGAAATGGAATAAACAGTCCGGGGCCACAAGTCGAAGGGCCCCGAAGCTTTAGTGGTATCTTATAGGGAAGTGGGGGAGGGGTCCCTGAACCCTTCGCTGTGTAATACGAGAGATATCGCCAATGCCGATCGACTGATCGCGGCTTCAGGGATACCCGGACAAAGTCGTCAAAGGGGATCGATAAACCGCCGGCTCCCCCACTCAAGTCCGGCCCGACCTTCCACACTGGAACGTTGAGGACTACAAAATGTTCCAGCGCAGGATCACTTCCACCATTGACGTCACAGCCTCGCACTGGACTCCAGCAGCCGCTCTTAAAAGGGCCAACGTCTTCTTAAGGCGCTCACCAAAAATGTGTGGAGAGGTGGGCCCCCCCGGTAGTGTGCTCAGCTTCTCTGACCTCAGGAGAGTTTCTACGAAAAACACCCGGAATAAATTCCATTGTGAAATAATAAACAGCATGAAAAGGTCACACTATGACTGCAATGTAAAAAAAAAAAAATCAATGCAGCAGTTGAGGTTTTTGTTAAAGTTTATTTTGTATTTTCGACTTTAACCCCTTCATGTGAAATGTATCATTTAACACGGGCCAGGCTCTCCAGCTGTCAAAACGAATAGCAGAGAGGTGAGTCACTGCTACCTCTCTGCTATCTTCAGCTGTCAGATACGGGATCGCTATTTAGCGAACCCGTATCTGAATGTAAAGGCTTCATTCTTTCATTAATGAAAGAAAGAAGCTTTTACAAAAGCTTAACTATTTCATTAATGAATGCCTCAATATTGAAGCATTCATTAATGACTGGTAACCGTTGAGAATCAGCAGTTACCAGCATTACAGAGGCTGATATAACTCGGCACGTACAGTGTACGTGGCCAGTCATATAGCCACTTTGTGACTGGACGTACACTGTACGTCTCCCGTCACGAAGCAGTTAATACAGTTCTGTACAACATGGTCCTGGAGGAGTCCTGGGTGACAAAAGCATACAATTACATTGACGAGACAAAGACAGGCTAATATTGCACAGCTCCCAACCACGGATGTGTGTGGGCTCACCCCTGTCGTGCATTCTTGTAATCCACATTCGGAGCACGGATAACCCTCATTTGATCTTAAAAACTGCAGAACCAGCATACGATGTGTGTGTGTGGGCTTGGTGCGACGCTGCGCAAAACTTTCTGTGACACAACCCCTCTCCCGGCCCAATCAGCTGCAGGCAGGGCATTCCCCTCCCCTTTGTTACTTGTAGCTGCGGGCCGGGCAGTGCCCCAGCTGCAACTGATTAAGCCGGAAGGGGTGTGTGTCACAGACAGTTAGCCCCCATTCACACTGGAAAAGGCCGGCACGTAGAGCTGTGTGCAGGGCCGTATCGGGCAGCTCTCGGTAAGGACAGGTGCTGTGTGTTATTAGTACGCAGCCCCTGTGCTTCTCTATGGGACTACGTGGCCGTACGCTGCCCTACAATCAGCCCAAGTGCAGGTCCGTACAGGTACGTGTTTCCTGGCTTGGACGCAGACCGGATCCATCCTGTCAGCGTACGAGTACGGACACCCGCACGAACATGCAGGGCGGGTGAGCTTGGGGCGGCGTACGGCCTGCATAGTCCCATAGAGAAAGACAGGGGCTACATACTAATCACATGCAGCACTTGTCCTTCCCGGGAGCTGCCCAATACGGCCGTGCACGCAGCACGGAGCTGTACGTGCCGGCCTTTTCTAGTGTGAATGAGGGCTTATCCACAGGCTTGGGTGAACTTCCAAGACCACGTACATCACTGCTCCCAACTGTGAACTTCCAAGACCACGTACATCACTGCTCTTTTGAAACCAAATCCCTCAATCCTCCCCCATCGTCCCTATTTTGTGGTCTGATTTACAGACCTTTAGAAACCTTGTGCTATTTACCTACCAAACATTTTATACTGCACCAAGCCTCTCATCCAACCTTAAAATTGTTGCATCTGTTATTTTGAAAGACCAGAAACCAGGAAAGGAAATGGCGAATACAATCTCACGTTTGGTTTACTAATTTGTATTGAGATTGTAGTCCATTACGGGACTGAGCTTGGAGCGGTGGTTACTTTACAACACACACAGGGACCATGGGGAACGAAAGTAGTCACCCTCAAGATGCAAGAATGGTATCAGCATGTATTCAGAGGTAATTTGAAGGTCTACCGCCAAGTAATGCCCAAATAAGGTCCAGTATTGTTAACAGTTAAGGTGCTTGAATGCATTTTTAAGATTTAACTACTGAGTTTAGTGTCAATTTCATTGGGGGCATTGTCTACATACTTTGTACTCGATCTCATAAAGTTGTGAGGCATGCCATTCATACAAAAAAAAATCTATGCTGCTCATACGTCAATAAACAGAAGTATTTGATTCACTATGGGAGTGCCGGTGTCTCTGTATATTCTACATGCCATTCATACAATCCCTATTCCTTGTACTGTAAACATTCCCTGCCACAATCTGAGAGAGCCATCAACACCAGGTATCATAATGAGACAAGGTAATTATGGAAGTAGCAACTCATTGGTGCAACTTTTTGACTCCAGATTCATGGTAGCACCAAGGTAGCATCTGCGTAGAGAGATACCTTCTCCAGCAAGCCCCAATGAACACGGCTGAGTAAGGGGGAGTGTATAAGGGTTCCATTGCAAGAGTGAAAAGGAACGGGGAAAGATGGCAAGCCTGCTGAGCACCCCCCTGGAAGGGGAAGGCCTCAAAGATGTCTGCATTAGTACGTACCCTGGTGAAAGGTTTACTATATAGCAGTTGAGTCCATTTTAGAAAGGTAGTCCAAATGCCCAGCCTATGCATAGTTGCATAAATAATCCCAACACACAGAGGTTTATTCACAAAGCTGCCGAAGACAGGCGAGTGAATAACCGACCCGAAGTGAAGTGAGCTGAATGCTGTTCGGCTATTCACTTCAGGCTTGTACAGCTGATTTTAGCTGTACATCGGCTGAAATCAGTCGTACATCGGCTTGCTTTGGCTGGCTTCGGTTCAGCCGAACATGCTCGGCATGTGCTGTGAATCCAGGATGGAGAGGGTTAAATAAGTATGAGACCAGGATGGTGAGGGTGGTTGTCGTTGCAAGACTCTGAATCCAAAATGGAGAGAGTTAGTTGAGTACAAAATTCAAACAGTTTAACCTCAGGATGGAGAATGGTGTAGCAGAGCGGGGGTGAAATGCTCAGCGTCTGTATCAATACTAGGGGAAAGTAGAAATCACCAGCACTCAGTAAATATCTTTGATGTCCATTTAATCGGACCAATTGTCATGTACAAAATAGCGACGTTTCGGGACCGCACAGGATCCCTTCATCAGGGTGACAATGTAACCTGTCGCCCTGATGAAGGGATCCTGTGCGGTCCCCAAACGTCGCTATTCTGTACATGACAATTGACGATTGGTCCGATTAAATGGACATCAAAGATATTTACTGAGTGCTGGTGATTTCTGCTTTCCACTGTTTGTTGCACGGTGCCATCCGTGATTGTCACTGCGAGCACCACTACAAGTACTTGGGCCGGGAGCGCTGCGAGGAGTGCAGAGGGACTTACTACTTTCTACATTGTATCAATACTAGGACGCTGAGCATTTCAAAGTTCCCGGCTTTATTCTGACAGCCTACTGGAGGGAGGAGGAGCTGAGTGATGCAGAGGGAGTAGGCGGCGCTGGACTCTGTTCCCAGAGCGAGGCCAGGTGACTTTATTAAATACACAGAAGGGATGTAAATATAATAAATGGAAAAAGAGACCACCTTGGGAAATGCTCAAGTAACGATAGCTAGCAATAGTTTAAGCATATTCCATCCAAACACCCCATATCCGTTCATTGTCAACAGGACAATTTCTGTGAACATATATGAGTTTCTCATAAGGAATTATGTGATTAGCCATCGTGGTCCATTGAGAAATCATAGGGGAACCCCGTTACATCCACTTAGTAGCAATTAATTTAAGGGCCATAAACAGGGTTTCTCTTAAGAAAATCCCAGCATAATGAGACCATTCCTCGTCATCAAGTAAGCCTAAAAGACAGACTGAAGGTGCACATGGAACTGTTATAGATAACATTAGAGACAATGTAGATGTCACAGACGGCCAAAAGTTTGCAATTGCTCAACAGGACTAAATTATATGAAAAAGTCTGTATTAGGTTGCTGACATCTCAATCAGTTAGTGGTAGGTATATGTTTCATCTTAGACTCCATTCACACTGAGCGTTTTGTAGCGCGATTTCCGCTCAAAAAATTGCTCAAATATCAAGCTCAATGTAGCTCTTCCAATGCATTTCAATGGAGATGTTCCCATCTCACAGCTCAATGTCGCCTGTAGCTACTAGCTCAAGCCTGTCGCTCAAACATGACCTATTTTTTGGTGGATTTCGCACGATTTGGCCCCAACAGACTTCAATGGCGTAGCTCAATGTCGCTCATTACCGGCATTTTTGCATGACATTGTCGTGCGATGTCACGCTACAGAAGTGTCACGCTACAGAAGTGTCACTTTTTCACAGAAATATAATGTTATTACAATGAAAAACCCTTTCCTGGGAGCCACCACCTTTTCTTGCATGTATTGCAGCCATGGAGGACAGCACTTTCCTGACATCTGAGAGTGAGACTTTCATTCGCCTGGTGAGGGAAGAAAGCTGTATATATATGACACCCGTCACCCACATCACAAGCACCGTGGATGAAGGATCTGCAAACAGATGTAGCCTGATGATTGGGACAGTTTTAGGAGCTCCAACAAAGCTTCAAAAGGTCAGCATGTGCATGTGTTACATGTATAATAATGCATGCATGCTAAAACAGAAAGTGTTCTTCCCCATAACCGTGGCCTGGTGGTCTGCGGGCAGGGGGGCTTGTCATAACCCTTAGGTAAAGGGGAACACAGATG